GTGCAGTTGTAGGTGTTTGAACAATGGTTGTTTCCCTTGACTGCAGAAACGCGCGGCAGCTGAAAGCAGCGGAAGGAAAAATCTGGCGGAGGAAACCTGTTTGCGGGAAGGTATCATGGGCAACCACCATGAATCGAATCGAAAGTGGAAAAGCGTGAGCAACAGTTTCCGGTGCAGGTACGTCGGCAAGCGTCCTTGCCGATATCCTCAGGACACTGCAGAGAGCTTTGTTAAGTGGAGCTCTGCAGGCCTGCTCCACTCCCCTGCCTGTGGAACTGTGGTGGTGGTGGTGGTGGTGAGGGTGAACCCTTGGCCCAGGGGTTGACACACACAGATCGCCGTGATCGGCGCCCCTGCTGGAATCAAACAAGGAAAATTCTTAGGTACAGAGTGTGACGCACACACTCCGCCGCTTTGCGGCTCTCTGGCATAAAACGTAAGATAGTCACCTAAAAAGCCTTAGAAACAAAAGAAAGGAAAGACAGAAAGAGCAGCGCTAAGAGGGCAAGAAAGAACGATAGGTGTAGAAAAAAGTGAATACTTAGCCCTTGACTGGGGTAGGGAAACGAGCCTGAAGAGCAACCTAAAAAGCCTGAGAGAAAGCCCAACAAACGACGGAAAGCGCAAGAAGAAAAGTGGGGGGGCAGGGAGGGGATGTATGTTCATGTGTGTGTACATGTGTGTGTGTGTCTGACTACCTAGCACTCTAGAGTTACTGATTACTTAGCCGAAAATAATTAAGTGCAGTAGTTAGGGAGCGGGACTTTAGTCTTAGACCGCCCGGGTAGAGAAGACTAGAACAGGAACAACACAGGGAAAGGCACCGACACACAAGTGTGTCGAGTACCATTTCCCTATGTTGCCCTAATTAGGTGGGGAGTAGAACTCGGCTGGGGGGGGGGTCGGGAAACCTGCCTGGCTGCGGGCGGAGTACCGTTTTAAAGCCCGGCGGCTATGGAGTCCCGCGTTTAGACAGCGCCCCAATGACGGGGATCACACTCAGCACCCGAGTGGGACGGCTGAGCGAAACACACTCTGACAATTGTATTCAGTTAACTCAATTACCACGATGGGAAGGATGGCGGTGGAACAGTATGGCGAAAAGTCCGTGCAGTTGTAGGTGTTTGAACAATGGTTGTTTCCCTTGACTGCAGAAACGCACGGCAGCTGAAAGCAGCGGAAGGAAAAATCTGGCGGAGGAAACCTGTTTTGCGGGAAGGTATCATGGGCAACCACCATGAATCAAATCGAAAGTGGAAAAGCGTGAGCAACAGTTTCCGGTGCAGGTACGTCGGCAAGCGTCCTTGCCGATATCCTCAGGACACTGCAGAGAGCTTTGTTAAGTGGAGCTCTGCAGGCCTGCTCCACTCCCCTGCCTTTGGAACTGTGGTGGTGGTGGTGAGGGTGAACCCTTGGCCCAGGGGTTGACACACACACACACAATAGTCGTGCTGGATACTGCTTGGCCTTGGGCGAGTGAAGCCTACGGGCTTTGCCGTTTGTGCGCATACTTTTGCGCGCATAAACTTACTGTATACGCGCAAGATCATACGGCCTTATATATCGTTCTACAGATCGTTGCTTCAACCATGCTACAAAGTCAATATAGTGGCGCTGGATACTGCTTGGCCTTTGCTGTTTGCGCGCATACTTTTTGCGCGCGTAAACTTATACGCGCAAGATCATACATTGTTTTTCACCAAACAGGGATAGCTATGGGGTTCTTACTGCCAATAAGAATGAGCTGCGCACGCTTTCAAAAGGGTGTCGGTGCTGGTGCTGGTGTTGTGGTCCTAGGTGCTGGTGCTGAACGGGCGGCGGCGCTGGTCGGGTGCTGGTGCTGCTGCCGGTGTTGTGAGCTGGCAAAGCGCGCCGGTGCTGGTGGCAGCTGGTTGTGCGCGCTGTGGAGGTGCCGTAAGCTGGCTGCGCAGGCTGCGTACATTCTTGTTCAAGCCAGTCGCATGTCAACAGATCGTGGGATTCCGCCTAGCTATCTGGGTCTATGCTGGTGTAATTATGAATGTTGGTGCCCGGATTTTTAAATTTTTCTTTTATTATCACGAAAGCTAGCATGCTAGCTGAGTTCTTCTTTGCTTTAGCAATGTTGTGGTGGGAGGGGCTGCGTGCCTTAAAGATTGATATATCAAGCTAACCCCCCCCCCGCCCCCCCCCCCGCGGTTCAACTCCCAGCTGCGCCGTGTAGGGGGTTGGTTGAACGTGGTTGGTTGGGTGTAAACGGTGGCTTGGTGTAAAGGGTGCTGCTGCTGCTGCCGCTCTGCTGCTTGCTGCTGCTGTTTGCTGCTGCCGCTGGTTGCCGCTTTTGTAGCTGCTGCTTTGCTACTTGTTGCGGCTGACGACGCCGCGACGCTGCTGCTACTGCTGCTTGCTGCTTGCTGCTTGCTGCTGCTGCTTGCTGCTTGCTGCCGGTGGTGCTTGCTGCCGGTGGTGCTGCTGCTGCTGCGGCTTGATGCTGCGCTGCTGCTGCGTGGTGCTGCTGGCTGGCTGCTGGTTGGTGGTTGCTGCTGGCTGCTGGCTGCAGGCGGCTGCTGCTGCTGCTGCTGGCTGCTGCTTGCTACATAGGACTTACTATAGGACTTGTACTTCACCGTTACAAGTTGTCTACCCCTATTTCTAACCTAATGCATGCATAAGCGGGTGGTAAATTTACCCCCCAGGCTTGCTATAACCATACACCGGCTATTTCCTCAAAACACTCTATTCTTGATACCTTTTACCAGTGCTTATCCTACACTACGGACGCCCTAGTGTAT